TATATACTAATGGCCGGGTCGGTGTTAATTGTGTTTTGTCGTTCGCACTAGCTCGCCTCGACGCCACGCGTATAGGAAGCCATAGTAAGACCTGTATTATAAACATCGGCATGAAAAGTGTTTTCCCGGAATAGAGCTAACTATATATTGTCGGCTGGAGTGCAGCACACGCGCACGGCTTATTGCCTTTAGGTGCGATAGCGTGGCGGGATGTATATTTGAGTTCGCTCCTACGCAAACAGCACACATCAGTCCGCACGGGGCTTCGCTCGTACCGCAGCAGCTGTGAAGGCGAGCTATAGCTTTCGTTCGAGTATTTACTCGGCGCTGTTTACGCGTAGACTGCTCGCAATTAGCGAGAGGGATGCAGAAGCCGAGACTGTGAGAAATGTCACGAGCTTGAGCTCGGTCGTGTAGACAAACTGTTCTAGGTTTGTGTCGACGCTCGCCCGGATGCGCGACTAATTCAAGCTGCTGGCGCCAAAAGACACGAACTAACTTGATAAAAACTAGCTCGGCGTTTGTCTAATTCCGTAATACGAATCGCGTAATCTCTTGCTGTGTTTTTTTAAGTATAGCAAATGAAATTCTTTTACTAAGTTGCGTCTATGTTTCCCAATGTTAAATAATATGTGGTTTTTCGTATTGTAAATCAATCTAAGCACGTAGGTATAGAGCGCTGCTAACATTTTTAACTTACATTTATATCGATTGTATCAAGGAGACGAATTTCTTAAACGAATTTGTAATTTAACATCTGTCAGAAACTTTATTAGAGAAGAAATACCTTTTGTCAACAGGCGACAGGGAGTTTATGACTATTTTATGCCGATGCTATAATTATAATGCGGGCGTGTAGGAATCGTGTGTGCGCGCTCTAGGTCTACCATCGTCGCCGTGTGCATGGGGTCGACGAAGACCTACCGTGTGTTATACACGCCGCTCGATATAAACACTAGATGCAGGATTATGTCCGCCCCATCAGACATATTATATATTTTATATATTTTTTTTATATTTGGGTGCGTAAATATAGATGTAGTGTAAGCGGGCGGACATGATGGTGTAGCCAGTGTATATAATGTCTGGCTGCAAGATCATTCGTGCCCGCTTACACTACACTATGTAAACACCGTATACAAATTATATTTATTTTATATTTTATTTATTGATTGATTAATTAATTAATTCATTCATTCATTCATTCATTTATATAGACGTGCGCTGACGCATGGCGAAAGCCGTGGCTATGACTACAAGCGTTTCCTGCTTTGTCGCAGTGACGTCATCACCGGCCGTTGTTTACGACGATGTGTTATACAGACGCGACTTAGTTTACTATCCATCGTTAATTAATAATTAATTAATAATCTGCGGTCGCTGCGATTAGTGGATCAGCGGATTCAGGTGCGCGTTGTCAGATAGTATAAGATCACAAATAGTTATGACGCTGATGAGTCACAGGTCTTGCACGACGCTTCACTTCAAAACTCATGAAGTTATAGACTTCTGAAAACGATTCCCACGCGTTTACTGAGAGTAAAGAGAGGTCGGCGTTGTGGTGGGGGCGGTGGCGTTGGCTGCGGTGGTGATGGTGGTGGATGGCGTGGGTGGGCTGGGGCGGGGTGGTGTGGTGCTCGTTGGTGGGTGAGTGGTTGGCGAGTGGCGGTGGGAGGGCTAGGTGGTAGGTCGGTGGTGGTGGTGGTGGTGATTGGTGGCGGTGGCGGTGGCGGTGGTGGCGGTAGCGGTGTTACGTATGCACTCCACCGGCATACAAAAACAGGGACTCGTGTATCACGCCGCCCCATTTCACGTGACTGGCAACACATGTGCGCAGTGAGTCACCCTAAGATGCTGTCAGCGTGCTAGCTCTATGTAAGCCTCAGCATGCAAACTTCGACACCGTGTATTATATTTCGACTTATAATTAGCGACAGTGTCCGAATTAGTCTAGTTAGGTGTACAACTAACTGTTAACGCTGCTTTTTTTTTATAAAAAGAAAGGCAATAAGTACTTGCATATGTGGCTTGCATACACTTCTTACAGTACATTTTACAATCTGTACATCTTACAACGTGTGCGTGCCTGTGTGTGTCCGCGCGCATGTTTGTAAACGGCCGTAACTCAATAAAACCGTAGACAGAGCATAAACCTGATTATACGGCTAACAATTCCAACTCAAGAAGCCCGTTGCTTTCTGCGATTATTGCTAATATTGCGATTTTACAAGTTGTATAATGTTGAAATTTGCGGATCGTATGGATCGTCATATGATGTAACCACTTAGTCGTCACATTTCTTACACTTTCACTCGTCGACGTGTTGAATACAACACTGCGCATAAACCGATTAAAATCGCGCGTAATGCATAACGCTAGCGTTCTCTTTGGAGAACTATTCTCAAGAGATAGGCACACAGTGCGTCAAATCCCCCTAAAGATCATCACATAAAGACGCTGACTATGATGTGCTAGCGGGGTAATTCAATTCATTCCTGTCGCCACATTAATTATACCTTACAGAGACAAATATAACACCCCTGACGCCATCATACGTACCGTCTCAGCACTAGACTTGCCATGTCTAACATGCGACGACACAGACTACGTGTTTCTCGGTTATTATCGACTCTGTCTTCAATACATCGCGCACCGGACCTGCCACGTGACCGCTGTCTTTATTTAAATCATTATTGATTTGTTCATTTAGATCGCTAGTTGTTGACGAACCATCATGTATTCTCTTAACATTAGCGAGCACAAAGCAGGACTCGGCTGCGAGAGATATTGACAAGGCATTTATGTTAGTGATTTGATCGTGTTACGCTGTCTCGTTGCAGGATGAGCAGGGCGTGGCGGCGTACAAGACCGTGGAGTTAGATGACAGCCTAGGTGGCGCACCGGTGCAGTACCGAGAGACGCAGGGCCACGAGTCGAAGAAATTCCTCTCGTTTTTTAAGAAGGGAATTAAGTAAGTGCGCATGCGTGTATTCGATCGCGAGTGCCTATGTATTTTCGGTGTAAATTTTAAGGTACATAAATTTAAATTTAGGGGCGGGCATTTTCGCGGGTAATGTAGCATTATGGCATTATGGCATATGATTAACCGGATAACGTACGTTTGTTCGTACTTAAAGCGACAAGCGTGAGCTTAACATGAGAAAGTTGACGTGCGCGGAAATTTGGTTTATAACTTCACGTGCTTGTAGCGTGTTAACATTTGCAAGATTCCTCTAAGCGCGTCAACCCGAGAGAGTTATCATCACTTCAAATCGAGGATAAATCGAGGAGTGGGTGGTTAATAATGATATGTTTTAGTTATACCAAATATCGATCCATCTAACACGAGAATAACTATTGAGCATAGCGTCCTAACATGAGTTTAAGCGCTTCGTAAAGATTTTTAAAAGCGCCACCCTTGCTGCCTCGATATAGCCCGTGGCGTGTTTATACGGAGGGAATCGTCAATATTAACTACCTAGATCAGAGAATTCATTTCTTGCGAATTCGCTTAGTCATGAAGTCGATAATGTCGACAACGACAACGACGACAACGACGACAACCACGACGGTGGCGACGATCGCGACAATGACAACAATTCAGCGACACTCCCATTTGACTTAATTTCATAAAACAAGTGCTGCGCAGTTCGCATGTATGCGCTCGACCAGAACAAAACTGGTTCATTTCTAACAGTCTAGTACTGTCCTATAGTTCAGTCACCTAGATACCTGGGCGTTTTAGGTAGCACAATGTGAAGAACATGGCATTTTACCTCAGATAAGGCATCGGTGGTTCAGTGGTAGAATGCTCGCCTGCCACGCGGGCGGCCCGGGTTCGATTCCCGGCCGATGCATCACTTTTAGATAAAGTAACCTAACTACTAAAAAAAGTAATCAATTTTAAGTAGATGACTACTGAAATAAGTTAGTAAACAGCCTGCTGTTAACAAAAACGCTGGTGAACTATGGTGATTATCAAATGCATTCTCTTTGTAGGTATCTCCAGGGAGGCGTTGCATCTGGCTTCAATCATGTGGCACCAGATAGTCACCAGCCCCGCTTGTTGCATGTCAAGGGCAAGCGTAACGTGCGCGCTACCCAGGTAAATGTCTCCAGAAAAATGTGTCCCATAATGTCAACGATACAACATTTTCAGCGCCATCTTAACGTTACTATCACCACTTATACTAACTATTACCACCATGTACTATCTACGAGCTATATGCACTATTAGCTATATCTTAATCATCGGCTTGGGGATGTATCATCGAAGCTTATAGCAAAACTAATTACTTGCCTAACTAGTACATCAACAGAAATTAATAAAAACAAAAATATGGTAGATGTGTGGTTTTTAATCACTTTTGATATTATATCTAGGGGCTCGATTGTTCACTATACTAATTATTCACTTTGACGATAGGTGGAGTGCAACGTCGGGTCGTTGAATGCGGGAGATGTCTTCGTTCTTGACTGCGGCATGGACGTGTACGTGTGGTGTGGACCTGACTCCGGTCGCATGGAGAGACATAGGGTACGTGGCGTGCTTGCACTGACACCCAATAGAAGTGTCTTTGTTCACGTATCAAGCAAAGTTACCAGGAGTCTGTTTGTAGAAATGTGAACAACATCAACGCTAAAAGTATTGAGCACACGTTTACACTTTATCTAAAACAGGCGACAAATTTTATTTATTTACTTAAATTGACTACGTCATGAATTTTCTATGGTAAAATTTGTAAAGTTTTTGTTGACATTTTTTTACATTAAAAGTAAGAACTAACGGGACTAAACGTATCGTCAAATTGTTACCTGATAAGATTGTTTCTCAACTAGTTAAAAATCCAAAAAACCTGGACGATTTGATATTGTGTTCCTGACATTAATTGCTTGCTATGGGCTATGTATGCGTCACGAGTGTATGTCCACATCGAACAATATTGTAAAATAGGAAGTATAATGCAGCAATTTAACCATAAAAAGTGAACAGAATTACTTATATTTTGTGAAAAAGTGGAAATATTATTTTTATTTGTACTATTTACGGTGACGTAATCACTTTAAAATATCTATCGTTACACATCTATCACTAAGTTGATAACTAACGTTTATAGTAATGTACCAAATATACGAACGTGTGTATCAGAATTCGTTACATGGGTGATTTGGCGTAGCATGGCAATGATATTGTAACACGTGCACGCTTTGCACTATGTGATGTAGGGAATCCGCTTGGCTAATGATGTTCGTGACAACGAGCGCGCCGGTAGAGCAGACATCCACATCCTAGGTGAGTTCTAATGATCGCATCAGATCGAATAATAATTTGATAAATCTGTTCCGACTTTAAATAAAGAATTTTATTGCAAAATGCACGCACGCGCGTACACAGGCACACACGCACACACACACGCACGGACACACACGCGCGCGCGCGCACACACACACACACACACACATTATATATATATATATATATACATATAATTATGTATATATATTATATTGTGGCGTTTAATCAACGATTACGTATCTGATTGGCCGGTAGATGGCACAACCAGCGACGATGACTTCTTCGCTGCGCTCGGAGGACGCGGAGAGATTAAATCGGCGGAAGAGGGCGGTCTCGACGACGAGGTTATCCTCACCAGACGCCAGGTTGCGCTATACAGGTACACTATTATGGTGGCGCTACCACGCATATATATAAATGTATATATCATATAGATATAGATATATATATATAATGATAATAATAATAATAATAATAATAATAATAATAATAATAATAATAATAATAATAATAATAATAATAATAATATAGGAATAATAATATTAATCGCAATAACTCGGAGGCCGTGCTCCATGCATGGATCGTCCCCCGATAGCCACTAAATTTTATATTTTATTAATAATAACATTTTAAAATACGATATTATTGATATTACTATACTATCAGCTGTATAGCTACAACTGCTACATTATGTTAAAGCCGGTGGTCAAAGTATTACGAATGACCGACCACTCCAGTGTAGGCTCTGTACAGCAGCTGAAATTTTAGTGTTGACCCACTGGTCCGTGTGGGAACTAACTACACACAGTCGGCAAATTGTCCGGACTGACCTACTGACCAACGTATCGCAACTGCCCACCGGTCAAAGTGTTAGGATCGTACCTAGACTATACACCGAGCAAAGAGTTAGGATTGACCCTATAGCGCACAAAGCGATGAAAAGCTGTTTTGTTTGCTTTCGTTGTTGTCGTCCGTTCGCGGAAACATTTCCGCTCGATGCTTGAATTCTCATTCAACGCGTTCACGCATATAGAACACGCGCGCGCGTGTGTGTGCGTGTGCGTGCATGCGTGCGTCTCACTCTCTCTCTCTCTCTCTCTCTCTCTCTCTCTCTCTCTCTCTCTCTCTCTCTC